GCAAAACGAGTTGTAAACATATCACCTGTCAATGGTTCCAAATATCTAATGATAGATGGTGAATCAAAACCCACATAAATTCCCAGTCTACGCTGAGGTCTCATTTTAATGCGTTGCGGGGGTGCAATAGGCACATAAACAGCACAACCAAAAACTCGTAAATGTGAAATGTTTGGCTGATGCCCAAACACGAGTTGTACTGAAGAGTATTGGTGGTTTGTTATAGGTCTCAATCGAACCAATGATCCAACATGTAAGACAGCATGTCCCCATGCAGAAACTGACAATTTTGTTTTCATAAGCAGAGTGCGGGCTATTAACTGAAGCCGCTCGATCAATGCTTCTGCTAAACCATTCTGAGTATGGACAAAAGGAACGAGGTGTTTAACATCAATGCCCAATGTCATGCAGTAATCATCAAAGGTTTGAGACGTAAATTCACTAGCGTTATCAAGTCGGATTGACTTAATGGGATAATCTGGGAACTGTGCTCATAACTTAGTTATTTGAGCAAGAAGTCTCGCAAAAACTACATTTTGAGTAGATAAGAGACAAACATGTGACCATCGGGTAGATGCATCAACCAAAACCATAAAATATCGAAATGGTCCACATGATGGTTGAATAGGTCCACAAATATCCCATTGAATTCTTTGTAGAAATGATGGGGATTCAGCATCAACCTTTAGTTGTGATGGTCTAATTACCAACTTCCCTTGAGAACAAGCCTTCCAAGGGTTATCATTTGAGATAGCAATGTGTCTGCTCAATAATGGATGTCCATTAGAGTTGGTAATGATCTTATGCATCATGGTAGATCCTGGGTGACCCAGACGGTCATGCCAAAGCATGTAAACTTTTGAATCAATGAACTTCTGGTTCATGACAGTATGTGATTCAACTGTTTTTATATATGTATAATACAATCCACTCGACAAACTACGCAACTTCTCCAATATACGTTTTTGGGTATCATTGGAGGTAATGCATAGATACTCCACATTTTCTGCATTTTTCGTTTCAATGTGGTATCCATTTAAATGTATGTCTTTGAAACTTAACAAATTTTGAGTAGATCGAGTAGCGTACAATGCTTTCTGTATGGACAATATTGTTCCATTTGGTAACATAATCTGGGCCTTCCCTGAGCCTTAATTACATATGAAGGTCCTGATATTGTTGTTACCTTTACTTTTATAAGCATCAATCTTGAGAAATACTTTCGATCTCGAAGTATTATATGCGTAGTTGCGCAGTCTGCAAGATAAATGTCTTCGCCATTTCTCATGCTTTGAGAATGACCATAGTTTTTATCCATGTTTTCTGAGTAAGGGAATCAAAGTTAAAGGCATGTTATAACAAGAAATTTACATGCCACTTTTATTGAATCTGAAATGCTAGTTTTAAACTACAAGTTCAGCATAATAAAAGTACATCAAACATAAACGATTTAGTCGGACCGGTATACTTCATTCCCCCTTTCCACAATGAAGTCTGAAACATCTAGGTGGGTTGTGTTCAACTGTCCTGATAAGTCACACATGGTTCAAGTATATTTATTGGTTTAGCCTGGTCGAGAAAATTGGTCTCGACACCCTTCTCCTTGAGGGAGGCTTGATACAGATCCTTCAGAGTTTTTAGGAGCATTGTTCATGTGAACTTTGCCTTTGTGGCGATTCACATTTTTAAAGCTCGGGCCTGAATTATGCCTTGGAACCTGGTTGTGAAACTGACCACCATGGTTCTTACATTTCCTGTTCCACCGAACTTGCTTGTGGCCACGTCCTCGTTTATGATTATCGCCACCAGAGGATATGGCGTTCACTTCGAGGGAAGCATCATTCACTTCTAGGAATGGTGCAGATCTAGTAGGTCGGGAATGATGGTTTTTCATCAGGAGCTCATTGTTCTGTTCAGCTACCAGGAGCACAGATATCAGCTGGTTGTATTCAGTAAAGCCTTGTGCTCTATACTGCTGCTGTAGGAGCACGTTAGAGGCATGAAATGTGCTGAAAGTCTTTTCTAGCAAATTTTCCTCAGTAATAGTATCCCCACAGAGCTTCATCTGAGAGGTAATTCTGAACAACGCAGAATTGTACTCTACCACTGACTTGAAATCCTAGATCCTTAAGTGAGTCCACTCATAGCGAGCTCTTGGAAGAATCACCATTGTCTGGTGATTGTATCTACTTCTTAAGGCCTGCCAGAGAGCTAACGGATCTTCAACCGTTAAGTACTCGCTCTTTAGTCCCTTATCAAGATGACGATGAATAAAGATCATGGCCTTTGCCCGATCTTGAGAGGATGAGCTGTTCTCTTCCCTGATGGTATCTCCAAGATTCCTTGCTTCAAGATGGATCTTGGTATCTAGTACCTAGGTAAGGTAATTTTTCCCAATAATGTCCAGGGCAGCATATTCAAGCTTCGCCAAGTTCGCCATTTTCTTTTCTAAAAGAAAAATGAGATGTGTAAGAACTTGCAACAATATGTATTCCTGGAGGAATATAGTGTTATAACTTCTGATTCTTACAAATTTTTCATTTTGATCTTCAAGCCAAAATGATAAGCACTAGAAACTTTTTGCTCGAGATTTTTAGGGTGAATGAGGAGGACGATTGTACTGCACCATTCTCATTGAAATAATATAACATAGGATGGTCGATTATTCCGCACCACTCCAGTAGCAGGAAAAATTTAAATACGCAGAGCAGGGCAGGCGATTATACCGCTCCACCTAAAATTGCAATGAAATTAAACAGCAGACAAATTTAAATATGCAGGTTAGGATGAGCGATAATACCACTCCATCTAAAATTGCAGTAAAATTAGATATGCAGTCCAAGATAGGCGATGATATCGCACCATCTTGGATCGCAGTAAAATTAAATTTGCAGTTCAAGATGGGCGATTGTACCGCACCATCTTGGATTGCAGTAAAATTAACATAAATAAATACTGGGTTACAATATCTACACCAAACAAGAAATCAAAGAGGTATGTAACTGTTAGGTTGAGAACTAGAAGCAGACATGGAGCAAACAGTTCATCGTGAGGGTATATCGCGCAGTTGAGGCAGAAGAAGAAGATGAACAGTAAAACCTTAGAGGAAACATTTTTTTTCGTTTGGCGAAGAGAAATGAGAGAATAGTTATATTTAGAGACTCGTGCTGATAACGTATTAAAAATATGTAAAAGTTAGAGGGATAACCTTTTTAGTGAATGGAGCGAAGTAGGTGTAAAATGTCACACTTTTTAGTGAATGGAGCGAAACAGGTGTAAAATGTCACACTGAAACGATAGCACAAGAGGATAACAAATAAAAGATGGAGGAAGAGATGATGTTATTGATCTTTCTTTCTTTCTGTATGTTTTGATTGCAGTCGAGTGCTCTATTTATAGAGCAACTCGTATTACTACATTTTGAAATTGGCCAAATTGGATTATTCACCCCCGTGGTCATATGAAACTTGCATGATGACCCCCGTGGTGAAAAAACTAGGAATTAAACCCCTGTGGTCAAGAATGTTAGCAAATTTAGTCCAAAAGTAAGATTTCTGCTAAATGATTGTTAAAAGTATGGGTAAAACTGTATTTTCAGTTCCAATTGACATTTAAAATAAATAATTTTTTTTATAACAATTAACAAAAAAAATAATGCTTAATTTTTTAAATAAAAAAAAGCCCCAATTCAATGTTAATTGGAACTGAAAATACAGTTTTACCCCAACTTTTAACAGTCCTTTAACATAAATCTTACTTTTGGACTAAATTTGCTAACATTCTAGACCACAGGGGTTTAATTCCTAGTTTTTTCACCACGGGGGTCATCATGCAAGTGTCCTATGACCACGGGGATGAACAATCCAATTTAGCCTTTTGAAATTTACAAACCCTCAACTTTGAAAATACGTTCCTTTTTGTTTCCAAAGTATATTCCAATTTTCATGGGCATTGAAAATGTGTGTGTATAACAATGCCAAAGTTGACAACTAATCTGTGAGGGCATTGAAAGGCTTTACCAAAGGCACTGTGGGCATTCACTACCCACCAGCATTTTCAACATTTTCTACATCTTAACCTAGCTATACATTGTACGCAGCAACAAAATTCAGAAGCCTCAGAGAGTCAGAAAAAATCCAGGACTATGGTGTACAGTTAGTCAAATTGATCAGCTGCATGTAGTTAAAAGCTAGACTTCGGTTGATCTGGCATTATTTGTTAAGATAGTACTGTTATATTTTGACCGAATAAATACACTTTTTTCTTCTCCTGTATGGTACCAGATAAATGGACGCATGCTACATATTAGTCAGTTATGTACAAATAAAATCAATGCACATGGAGACGGTATTATAGTTCCACTCAAAATCTTTTTCAAAGTATAAAGAAGACTTCATATAGTGATTTATATGAGCATGATTATCACTTGCTCATATATAATATACGTACGGTTAAAAGATTGATTAATAAACAATTGTAACCATTGATCATAACTAAACCAGAGATTGTAATTATACTGTGTATAATCTCATCTCATGTAATTTTAGAGCAGTTTGTCTAAATTTTGGATTCTTTTAATCTGCTCCCAAAAGCAATAATATTGTTAGACGAGCAAACAAGCATCACAGTCCTTGTCTTCAACCACACTTCCTGATAAAATCATATCCTTAGATGATAATAGTGATAAGGTTATGAGATAAATATTGAGAGATGAGATTATTGTAAACTTCTATATACCAAATATACAGTCCTTAGATGCAAGGACTGTGATGCTTGTTTACAATAATCTCATAACCAAAGCAAGATTCTTGCATCTGTTTATACGTTTATCAGTATAGTGAAAATTATCTCTTCCCGAATTTCCTTTTCTACATAAATTAATGAATGAAATTGCTTTGGTTTCATCAGTCAATGCAAAAGAACTTTAAAAACAATAAATATTCACTTATTTGGATCCTGATGATAAGAAAAATAAAAAAATTCAAGACATTCGCCACATGATAAAAACGACTCTGATCATTCATTAATTCTAATCGTCCAGATGTACTACACCAACTGAGCAATCAAATTATTGAGAACTAACAAAAGGAAACTATCTAGAGCAAAATTAAGAAAAAGTAAACCTAAAAACTAAACTCAAATTCTTACACACGCAAATTCCTTAAAAAAAGCTAAACTCTGCTGGTCTGCACTTCAGCTTCATCTTCGTTCTCTCTTGACATCTCCTCCAGTGATTTTCCCTTAGACTCTGGCACCAAAAACGTAAAGAAGAACCCAATAACATTGATTCCTGCAAGCACAAAGAGAGCATTCTTCATTCCAATTCCAGCTGGGTACCCTGGATCAGCCTTAGCCGGGTCTTGATTCTGAGCTGCATACAGAAACCCAAAAGCCCCTATAATCGCTCCCAACTTGCCAGAAGCCGCTGAAATCCCATGACAAGTGGACCGAAGCCTAGCTGGGAAAATCTCCACCGGCACAACAAACGTTGTAGCATTGGGTCCAAAATTGGCAAAGAAAAATGTTAGGCCATATATGACAATAAATCCAATATTGTGTTGAGGTCTAGACCAGTACTCATATGGAATTGCCAAGACAAGCATGAAAACAGTCATGAAAAAGAACCCAATTAGCTGAATTGCAAACCGGCCAATGTAATCAATGAGGAAGACCGTGGCCCAGTATCCTGGAACTGTGCCGCATAGGGCTATTAGGGTTTGTGCCCTAGCGATTTTGAAAAGCTCATCTAGGGCACTCATAGAGCTTGCTGACGGCAGCCATCCCACGGCGCTGAAGATGTCCTTCTGGAAAAGGTTTTGGCTGTAGTAAGCAATGTCCAGCAAGAACCAACAGGTGGCCGTGCCCAATAAATGTTTGCCGTGCCGCTGAAGAAACTCTCGGGAAAATAGACCAAAACTTGAGGACTTGTTAATATGGGCATGCTCTTCTTGTTGCAGCTCTTTGATTTCAATGTGCAACACTTTAGTCATGTCTTGGCACGCCTTGCTTTGATCCTTGGCTACCAGGGCAGTGTAACGAGGGGTCTCCGGCATCTTCATTCGGGAGTAGAAAGTCAACAACGCTGGGACTGCTCCGAACATGAGAATAATCCTCCACACATAGTCTGCCTGGGGGACAGTCGACCCAAGTGGATCCACGGAGTAGGGCTCAGCATGGTATAAAGAATTAAAGATAGCAGAAACCACAATAGCCACCACCCCACCAGCCAAGATCCCAAACCCTTGCATAGCAAAAACAGCGGCTATAAACGCCCCTCGGCTCTTTTTGTTGGAGTACTCCGCCATGATCGTGGCCGAAAGTGGGTAATCACCACCAATACCAAACCCTAGCCAAAATCGGAAAAAGCATAAAGTGGCCATGACAGAAGTTGGGGAGCTACCCAAAGAAAGGCCGGAACAAATAGAACAACCCACCATGAGCATTAGGGTTATGCCGTAAACACGCTTCCGGCCGAGCTTGTCACCCAGCCACCCAAAGAAGAGCTGACCGACAAGGGTTCCGCATAGGGCAACTCCATTGACCGCGCACGCCACATTTGGGGGTAGACTACCTGGCTTTGAAGACCCCGGAACATGGTAATAAATGCGGCCAAGGAGCTTGGTGACAAGTGAGATGCAGAATAGGTCGTATGAGTCTGTGAAGAAGCCCATACCTGAAATCACCACCGCCGTAAAATGGTAAAATTTTGTTTTGGCCGAGTCCAGCTGGCTCAGGAGTTCAAGCGCCATGACGAAGGCCTGTGAATTTCTCTCTCTCTCTCTCTCTCTCTCTCTCTCTCTCTCTCTCTCTCTCTCTCACTTTCAGATTAATTTGTTTGTTTCTAAACTCAAATTATTGAATAGAGTGTGCGTAGTGAGAATTTTTAAGGGTTTTAACGAGAGGAGTTAGAGATGTTTTTGGATTCTGTCTTTCTGTGCGGGTGGTAAGTGAGCTAAGGAATATACTAGGGAATTATATGATTTTGCAGTTGTACCTCAGTCACTAGATAAATATTACTAAATACATAAATATGCATAACTAAAAAAATATTCATGTTTTGAACTCCAATTTGGAATCAAACAGTAATTTGGGCATATCTAACTACAAATCTACTCTCTCTCTCTCTCTCTCTCTCTCTCTCTTTAGTACATGAATATTTTTACACTAGAGGAGACACTAGGAGAGGGAGAGTTCGGCTAAACCACACGATATGTAGCCTAATTTGGTATCGAATTCATCATTCACTTCGAACATAAAACTCTCATCTCTCTCTCTCTTCTTAAATTACATTTGTCAATTTTCTTTTCTATTTACTTTAACCACAACTTGAAAACCAATTAAGAAGAGTATTATCTTTACTTTGTATTGTATTCCTAATGAGTAATTGTGAAAGTGTCGTGAATCTTTTATCGTGTTTTAGCCATTAGTTACGTTTGACATGCATATTCAATAGACATTAATGATTGTTTCTTACTAACTTTTTACTTGAAAAAAAAAAAAAACTAATAAAAATGGCTTGAAAACTTTGAGTTTTAACGATAAGGACAAAATAAAAAGTAAAGTGAATAGTATCATTGATTGAATTTTTAGTGTAAAAATATGATTTTTCGTTACAGTGAACAGTACCGGTAACTTTTCGTTAAAGTTCTCTAAAAAAAACTCAATCCTGTTGTGGGTCGGGACTTAGACTCCTTTCGGGCTTTGTTATGAATTTAGACTCCTTTCGGGCTTTGTTCTGAACAAGGATCAAAATATCGATAATATCGGCAAAATATCTTTTTTTTTATATGACGATATTTTGTGACTTATCCCTTTAAATATCGTGATATGAAACCTAAAAATACTTGAAAATTTCTGAAAGTTCACAATCTTGAGCATAGAGGGATTCGAACCCCTTCCATTTGACTCCTTCAATGCCTTGACCACCATATCACTTATGTTTTTGTGAAAATATGCTAAAATATTTATATATATGGTTTTGTTTTGAATTCTTTTTGCAAGAAACAAATTTGCACATATTCCAAATTTTTTGTGGTATTATATTTTAAATTGTGTCAATTAATTACTTAGTCAATGGCATGTGATTTTTAATTTTTCTATTTTTTATTTGGTCACTTACATGTAGGGCTGGAAAAAATTCTTGAAAATCCCAAACCAAACTGAAAAAGTCCAAAACCCAAACCAAAAAAATCTCAAACCAAAACCATCCCGAAAAATACCGAAGTATTCGGTTTCCTATTGACTTTTGGGTTTAGTTCTTGAAAGCCATTGTCATGGTTGCTGACTACTCTTCACAATACACTTACTTTACACATAGAGATGATGAAGATAGTGAAAATTTTGAACCTCATAGGAACTCTATATGTTACTAAGTCACTCATGTATCTTACCATGCAATGTATAAAGTGTAAAATATTGTATAATTCATTATATATAAATGATTATGGTGTGTTTAAACTTCTTTCATTAATTACTACATATTTTCTACACTTACAATATTTGCTAGCTCGCTATATAATCAACTTAAATCAGTTAAATCCATTATGCAATGCATTTCCTTCCAATTTTTTGTGATAAACTAATAGATAATTGACTAAATAAACATCCTGCAAAGTTTCCATAAAAATTTCCAAGTTTTTCTTACAATTTCCGTGGTTTTTATTCAATTTTTATCGATATCGATAATATCCCGATATTTCTATCGAAATTTTCTTGTTTTTGGACTACCGATATTTCCGATATCATCGATATTTTAGACCATGGTTCTGAATGAAATGGGACTCGACTCCTTTCGGGCTTTGTTCTGAATGAAGCTTCTACTATTCTAAATAAAAAGGAAAACATGTCTATTGTACGAAGAACATGTCTCACAAAAATAAAATAAAAGTAACCAACATGTAATTAAAGCGATACTCCTCTTCAGGGCTTTCAAGTACTAGTTGATTAGAAATATAAATTTTGTCACAAGATTTTTTACAATATTTTTTTTTTTAACAAACAATAGTATTAATGAGTTAAACTGTTAGTTGTTATGGGAGAGGGGATCGGTAGGAATCAAACTTGTACCAAGGTGGATAAAGATAATTGTTTTCCGCCACTGTGGTAAAACTTCATTTGCTATTTTCTTTGCACTTTGAGAATGATGATTTGGGTGTATAAACAATACGCACTGGAATATACCAAAGAATAATCTTACTAAATGCACTCGAATTGAGAGTGTTTCTGTATAAAGGTAATCGGAAAAAACATTTCCAACCAAACATGAAAGGGTTGCTCAGAGCAATATATTATCACAAGCCAGTAAAATTCCACACAACTAAATAATCTTATTTATAAGACGTCTGAAAAAACGTGGCTTCAAACTGCAGGGCACAGGGATAAGATCCCTTGCATTCAGATACTTGCTACAAGTTTGAGTTTCACTTATTCTAACAGCTCATTCGAATTATCTTCTCAACTTCTCCTTCATCCTGTCAACGGCAGCCCTAAGAGTTCCTTCGTCTTTGCAGAACGTAAACCTTACTAGATTCTTTCCATCTTCCGGGTTTAAGTAAAATACGCTGGTGGGGATTGCCACCACTCCAACTTCCTTAATCAGATACTCGCAAAATGCAACATCATTTTCCAGTCCAAAAGGTGTGTGATCAACAACCACAAAGTAGGTACCACTTGATGGATACACTTTGAAGCCGACAGATTTCAATCCCTCTACCAAAATCGCCTTCTTTGCCTGGTAATCTCTTTTCAGCTCCACATAGTAGGAGTCGGGAGCTCTGAGAGCGATTGCAGCTGCCCATTGCATTGGAGTGGAGTCGCAAATGTGAGATAAGAGTGTGCCTGCCGAACTCCCCATGTCAGGTGTGGTGGAGCTATAGCCCAACCGATCTTCCACCCAGTCAATGAGAATGTTTTCCCCAACGAATTCATGGTTACTGTACGCTCATACATTCCAGGAAGAGAGGCCGGTGAAATGTGATCCATTTCAAAAGCCAACTTATCATAAACTTCATCACTGAATACCAACACATCATTTTCGATGCAGAGTGATGCAATCACATCGAGTTCCTCTCGAGTGAACATTTTTCCAGTAGGGTTATGTGGACTATTTAGAAGAATTGCACGAGTATTCTTTGAGATTGTGGACCTGAGCTCATCAATGGGAACAGCAAAATCCGGAGGGCGTAATGTGATACCTTTTACTTTAGCACCAGCCATGGATAGAGTAGCTTCATATGAATCATAGAAAGGAGCAAAGAGGATAACCTCGTCACCAGGATTTATCAACCCCAGCATAGTTGCTGCAATTGCCTCTGTGCACCCAGAGGTGACAGTTATTTCTTTCTCAGGATCCACAACAAATCCAGTATCCTTCTTGAATCGCTCAGCAATGGCATTGTTAAGGTCTGGAACCCCATATCCGCGAGCATATTGATTCTTCCCATCTATAACAGCCTGAATTGCTGCTTCCTTTACAAACTCTGGACCATCAAAGTTGGGGAAGCCTTGCCCAAGGTTTATTGCTCCATGTTTAATTGCAAGATTACTCATTTGCGTAAAGATTGTTGTCTTGAACTTTTCCAAGCGCTTTGCCACCTGACACAAAAAAAAATGCACATACATGAGGAAGATTTCAACTCTGCAACTGCAGATCAATTCAGGGAATAAGCTTTTACACATATAGCTCAATCATAGACGGTATCTTATGCACAAACCACATAAAAAATTCACATGTTATAAGTCATGACCACCGCCTATATTTCATCTCAATTAGATATCACTATCCCATGACATTGTCGTCTATGACCCCCAAGTCAAATAATTTGGCACAAGAAGCATGCCTAAAGCTTTTGGAAGCAAGCATGCAGTGATATAGAGATAGAAAAAGTAGGACTGAATAAGTTGTATGATGCAAGGTTTAAGTCTTTATACATGAAACCGAGGTACAGAAGGCTGGAATTGAAAACGAAGAAGGGATACCAATAAGAAGAAACAAAAGAAGATAAAAATACGAAGTTACAAATTAACAAATTAGGAGGCAAAAAACTTCAACCTTTAATATCAGAGCAGCTGTATTAGAATATAGCTGGGAAATCCAGAATTAACTGCCCCATAACTGTAATTAGGGGTCACTAGTAGTCATTTTGTAATTTTCATCATAACTTATTGTTTTGTTTTACTATCACCACCACTGTTTTCACTTGGTTTTCTTACTCAATACATATTTGACCTTACAGTTGCAAAAAAATGAGAAAGAACAAGATTAAGGCCGGCAATGCTTTGTGGCACGGAATGTTGTGCGTGCAAGCATCAACACATGTAGAAAATGAGCATAGCGGAGATGAGAATGCTTCATTGGATATGTGCGCACCAGAGAAAGGACATGATTAAGAATGAATGAGAGGTAAAGTAGGAGTGGCCACAATTGAAGATAAGAGGAGAGAAAATAAGTTATGGTGGTTTTGACATGTGAAATGAAGATCTACAGATGTTCCGGTTACAAATTCAATTGTGAGATAGACGTTCAGGACAAAAGGAGTAGAGGAAGACTTACGAAGACTTGGGAAAGAGACTTTAAGAAAAGATATGGAGTACTTTGAACTAACGGAATACTTGGTGCAAAGCCGAGCACAGTGACGTCTAGAATTCATACAGCCAACCCCACTCAGTGGGGTAAAGTTTTGTTGTTGTTGTTGTTGTTGTATTTGACCTTATAGTTGGCAGAACAGGCAACTCCTTCACTTGATGTTAAAATATGAATCTTTGGACTTTGTGGCACTAAATTTAGACATCTAATAACCCCATTATCCAATGATAAACCTATATTTAATTATACAAGTGCATTATCTAATTAAATTGTTAATTACATTATGTTCTTGCTTCAGCAGGATTTAAGTTGCGTAACATGATGGATTGCAGTCAATTTTTTACAATTTGCAGTACATCGGCTAAAGCTTCACAATCATTCTACAAGTTAAAA